AAGCCCATTCCCTTTTCAACGTCCAGTGATCTGTGGCTAACGCTATTCTTGACCTTTCTTTAAAGTGAATCTATGAAGCTAACTATTCATTTAGAAAATACTTACTAGCTCAGTTACCCAGATATGAAGATAGCATCCTCATCTGTCTTGTTTCGCCTGAACAACATGTAAAAACTCCAAGACAAATATCCAGAATATATTCTTATTTGGAGCCAGAATGAAGCTGTTCCAAGCAAATTAGTTTAGTATAGCCTAAAAATGGCATAGTTATTACATTATCAAAGTAGTTGCCTGTTAATATTCCGTCCATCAACTCAATTATTAATTGTTTCAGCTCTGAATCTTCTTAGACTGGTATACCTCCTGAAAAGGTAGCTTGTCAAATGCTTTCATGCTTTATTTTAAAAGAGGCTAGTAGCAATACTAGTGAGGCAACTATTCCCTTCAAACAGATGACTGTTGTGCACTGAAGCTACTGTGTGTGACGGATAATAATAATGAAACCACTTTTGTTTCCATGTGGCCGTTTTGTTTCATATCTGATGTGAAATGCTGTTTGTAAACAGGCCACATTTGTTGGCAGTTTTCAAGCCATCAAGCTCAATGATTCTATTTTCGACTCTCTTTGAAACTCTTTTTCTCTCTGTCTTTAATATGTTCTGCCCTTGTGCCGTCTCTCTGTTGTGTTCACTTATTTGTGGTCTGTCTTTTATTCTGTGTCTGTATCTCTTTATTTTTCAGCTCTCTTTTTCTGGGGATGAAAACCATGCCTGTTTTATTTTTTTCTTCAGAGGGCGCTGAATATTTCAGTTTTGCATTTTCTCTCTTTTTATGTGCTCCCTCTTTTTTTCAAGCCCCTTTGATGTGTCTGTGGATTCGTTATCATTCCGTTTGGATGAGCTCACAGACGCAGATGCGCGGGCGCTCGCATGCACTTGCGCACACACCGCGAGTACACACACTCTCGCTCTGTCTTTTTATACTAGAGACCAAAGGCATCCGCATGCAAGCGTGCATTCTCCTCTGTTTGTCAGTCTTTTCCATGCGCCACTCCACCCACATCACAGCCCATACAATTCTTAAATACTCTGCTTACATGAAAATAATATTTGCATGGGCAATTAGAGTGTATTCAGTGTGCATTGACTTTAATGTGTACTCTTGTATTAACTGTTTGTAAATGTTAGTGTACAGTGAGTTCCTTGTCTCTGTTCATCCAGCATGTGGTGCACACTCAGTCGGCACGTGGCATTTTGTGGTTTGGGCAGTCCGGAAAACACCGGAATCCCTGCACCCCTCCTGTCTGCCGGGCGGCTGGATGGCGGAAGCTCTTTTACCCTTTCTAGCACAAACACTGCTCTCCCCTCTAAACAGCCGTTTAGCATTGAGGGATGAGAGGACTTCCTCTTTAGAGAAGGCACATCTTTAATTTGAGCCTCCTCTCCTTCCACTTTTCTGACCAGAGATCCATTTAAAGCCAGCGGGCCGCCCTGACGCTGGCACCCCTCTCCTTTCTCAGCCTGTGTGTTTCTGCCTGCCATGCCTCCCTGGTTATTTTTCTCTGTCCTCTCATCTCACCCTCATTGCTGTGTTATTGATGGTGACACACTGTCTACCGCTGTCCTGACCACACACACACACACACACACACACACACACACACACACACACACACACACACACACACACACACACACACACACACACACACACACACACACACACACTTCTTCTCAAAGGAAGGTGCTAGGGCTGCTCGATTATGGCAAAAATCATAATCTCGATTATTTGGGTCAATAATTGTGATTGCGATTATTAAATGCGATTATTCATTGACTTTTAAAACATCCATTTATTGGAGAAAAAAATGTGAACAGTATGTTTTTAACAGTTGATTACCCTGAACTTTAAGTATAATTCAACTGAAAAACCAACAAAAAAAAAAGTAATAATAATAAAATAATCGTTTTATTTCGATTACGTTGTTTTCGTAATCGTTGCAAGCCATAATCGTAATCGCGATTAAAATACAATTAAAATACGATGAATTGAGCAGCCCTAGAAGGTGCCATGTGTTCACCTGCATAATGTGTTTCAATGTGTCACAAACTTAAAGTTAGCTGCAGTGAATTTGTTGTGCTTCCTCAGAGGTATAGGCCTAGCAGCTAACGTTGTCACAGAGCATTCCTTGAATAAAGTTTTCAGTAACACACAGAGTTAGTGAACATACATATACACGCACATGTGCACGCGCACATAAGCTCCATCGCCTCTCAAGCGAGACACACACCCAATTCATTCCTGCTCTACTTTGGAAGTTTAAAGAACTTGCTATTTCTGTGACATCCTCTTTTCCATCTCTCTTTCCCCTTTCTTTTTTCCCCCATCTTAGTCTCTATACATATCCTTTTGTGTCTGTCTGAGCCCGGAAGGCAGTCATGCAACGGGACTGATTAATAATTACAGAGTACACAAAATTGGGAGAGAAAAAAAAACAATTTCTATGTTGTTTGATGTCCAACATGAGAGAGACCAAAATTACAAAGAGACAGAACACTATAAAGAGGAGAGAACGCTTGCACATTCCTTTTCCAATCCTGTGCTTCTGTTCTTTCCTCTGTTTTCTTTTGTTATTCCTTGTTCCTACCTTTATAGAGTTGTTGCTTTGATTTTTGGAAGTGATTAATCACTTCTTAAAAATACAACCCTTTGTAAATATAATAATAATAATAATAATGCATTACATTTTTTATTAGAGCGCTTTTACAGGTGCTCAAAGCGCTTTACAAGTACACATTACACATATTAGACATGTAAGAGTCATTACTGCGGACATTACCCACAGGAGCAAATGTGGGTAAAGTGTCTTGCCCAAGGACACAACGGCCTGACGCAGTGGCGGCCGAGGCGGGATTCGAACTGGAGTTCACAAATATGTGTGTTAATGCAATGACTGTAGTTTTCTCATATACATAGTTGTATTTTCATAGTGTTGCATGCTATGCTTTAATTCAAGTGCTAATGGACCTTATCATTTATGAATTATAACACACACCCACACACTTGACAATGCACTTTTTAAATGCAGATTAAAATACAGAGTCCTTCCAGCTGTAGTTTTGTCATAGATTCTACTAATAGGTTTAAAGTCTCACCCAGTGGCCAACATGTATTCTTCCTCCTGCTTGTCTGGCCACAGGGAATAATTATCCGTACAATGAGTGTTCATTTACATGGAGCAGGAGACAAGTGTATACTCTGCACTTCACGCTCTTTGCCTCCTGTCCAACACTGTCATCTTTTTGCAAAAATCAGAAGGAAAGGTGTCAGTAGTTGCTCCAGTGCACTGGAAGCTGCAGAGAGTCAAAATGGCTTCACTTTTTGTTGAAGTTTCAATTGAAATGTCATATTATTCCTATATACCTGAATAGCATGGAGAGTTCATTTTAATTTACAGGGTTTCTGTATGATTTTATGAAAAGCAGTGGTATAAAATGTTATTTTGTTTTTTTTGATCTAAAATCATACATTTCTAAAATAAAACCTACACTGTTTAATAAAGTTATCTTCAATGTAGCTCAAAGTTAAGCATTATTATAGACTTCAAGTATTAGTCGTAATACATGTAGGTTAGTCTGTGCTCTTGCATAAAATAAACATATTTTAAGTTGTTAATCCAGACTTTATGGCACATGATGTGAAATGTATTGTTTCTAAGTATATTGTTAAATGTCTTAGTGTTGTTGTATGACATTAAGGCATAATATATGGGAAGAAATTGAGATAAAACTAAACAGTAGCATTTAATGACAGTATTAATTAGATTTTTGTCACAAATCAATGTTTCATTATACACGACTGCATAGTTAGCGAATAAAAAGGGCGTTATACTAAGCGGTAAAGCCAGACATTTACTTGCTAAAAATCACATTTTTTAATGTAAAATCTCTTCTTTATACAGTAACTATTGCTTTTGACAATGTTGTGGTTAAATGAAGTGCAGGTCATTAACAACTTGTGAATATTGTATACAGTATATACAGCATGTAAATACACAGGTGGTTACAATAATAACACCCCCATGATCTCCCTTCACTTCTATCTCTGTCACTCTCTCTACCCTTTTCCTCTCCCATACACCCTCCTGTCCCGCACACCCTATGTGGGTTGGTCTGACAGCTGCTTGGTGTATATGTATGATGTCGCTGCTGGGCGCTGACAGCTCCCAGTATAAGTCTGTCCCTCTCAGTGTGCCTGTCAACCCTTACAGCCTACGACCTGACATTTGCTACAATATAGGCCACACAAATGCACACAAAGCTATTGAATTCATAGACACTGAAGAATTGTACGCTCACATTACTTTCCACAATCTCTCTCCAATACAATGAGAATGATACATTGGTCATTTTAACCTTTCTTTATCCAGTTATTTCGTCTCGAAAGTATTTTTGCAACAACTTTTTTCATAATAATAAGATTTACCTACATTTCTGGATGTGATGTTTTGGTGTTTTTTTTGTTTTGTTTCTTTCCGTTATCTGTCAAGTGGGAACTAAGTTTTTTTTTTTTGCGTTTCTCTTATTTTCCTACAATACTGTTAGGATTGGCTGTGAATAAGAACATGAAGGAGAGACCATCTATTTATATTAATAACTATATTATTATATTTAACTATTTTTTCTTAGAAAGGGGCAGGTAATATAAGATTATTTTCTTCTCCCTGCTCCTTTTCGGGTATCGTGTATAGAGACATGTTTTGTAAATATTTGTTATACATTAAGTTGTGCATACCATGAACGGAACAAATACAAATACAAATGAAATGAACGTTTATTGACAGGTACGTTTTGCTTTGGCATCTGGTAGTGCGCACATAAATAATCAAAGAAAATAAGTTTCAAAAGTAGGTAAAAAAACCCATATTTTTAAGAGACAATTTAGCATTAAAAAAGGATACAAATGTCTTGATATATACATTTGTGTGTGTTGGTTTGAAGGGAGATGGAGAGCCAGCTGGACAGAGCGAGAGAGAGCCAAAGGACGCAGATCCAGCAGGCAGACATGGCGCTGGAGCAGTTCAAGAAACAGGTGGAACTCAGCTCTGAGAAGACCTACGCTGACATGAAGCTCCAGGTGTGACACACACACACACAATACACACACAGCAAAGTGTAACATCAACATTAAATGCACACAATGTATAGTCGCCTACACATAGCTCTATCAATGCACATCTGTTACATGTACAGAATGCACATTGTACACCCAGTCAGCCTCATTACCCATTAATACATGGTTTTTCTGCTGTGTGCCAAATACAGATGTTCATTTACCCTCCTCTCTTTTATGTCTGCTTTACCGCGAGGACAGTAAAACTGTTTGACAGGCAGTAACCAAGACAATGCACACACAAACACACACACTTTTTTTGTAGTAGAGACACAGCCTGACCACAGATGCAACAGGGCGCCACGCTAATTGCGTTTGAATGTCCTCCGTATGTCTCCCTCCCCTTCACTTCGCCTTCAACTGCTCTCATACTGAAAAAACACACAAAAATGTCTTGAGCCCTGTCCTCCCCGGGCAGTTTTCACTCATTTCAGTCAGCCAAAATGAATGACACGATTTATAATCCTGCTCATTATGCAGGTGCATTCATTCGCACGTTGACCTTGCTTCCTCTCAGTGGGCGTGACGTGGGATGGTTGTGTTTTTTTAATGGAGGACGGGTCGCCCGCACTCAGCAGACTAATTAGTACGTCAGGCCAGCCTCGCAATCAGCGCTCCACACCGCGTGGGCTGCTGCTCGTTGGGAGAGTTCTCCAATCGATACACACTCCGCGGTAAACTTCTGATGTTGTCTTACAAGACAGTTTGGCTATAGGCGTTTTTGTCGAGCATTTTTTGGCTATGCTGTGTGAGTGCTGTATTGACGGGGCAGCACTGAGTGTGATCCTAGGTTGCCGATTAGCACATTTGAGTTGCTGATTAGTGAAGTTTTTAGCAAATCCATATGTTGTAGTTTTAAAAAAATGCTTTGTGTGGGAGTCGAATGAATGCATGGATGTTTGTAGGCGCACAAAGCAACCTTCATTCCCCCCCAGAGTGAATTTAAAATGTCTGTCATATTGAGCAGGAATGAATTGTGCTGCAGATGGAAGAGAAGACAAACGGGAAACTTTAACGAGGGTCAAAAGAGCCCTCGATGCTGCACATGTCTGTATGTTCCTCCTCTTTTCTCCTGTTCTCACCCTTCCATCTCATGCTTGTTCCCTCTTTTCCCATGGAGCCCCTGGCATCCCGATTTCCAATCTGACTTTATCCTCAGCCCACATCAAAGCCAAGAGAGGAGCAGTTTCTTCTGTATCTCTGTCAACCTCTCCCAGACCCACTTATGCAACGCTCCATCACGTTCTCCTGCAAAGGCTTTAATGTCGTAGTGTTTCACTCTTTCTCTTCATCCTTCCATCTTTCCTCTCATTATCTTCTCTCTCTGTCCTCGCATTGTGTTCTATCTAAATGGATTATCACTTTCTTTCTCTCATTTTAAAATCAGCATCCCACTTTAAGACTGCCCTGTTTTGGTTTTGGTGTGAAAAAGAAGCAGCACACAGAATCAAATCTCTGTTGCGTGAGTCGTTTAAAAGAGGCTTCAGCATTTCAAATGGATTCATCAAAACACATTTCGCATTTCCAGAGCGTTACACACACAGCAAAGCCCAGCCCAGATACAGAGGCGCTTCAGTCAATTACATTTCCAATTGTTTCGATTATCGTCACCTGAACAGAACAATATGAAACGGGTAGGCTGCAAGCACGTGGAGTTAAGATAAAAAGAGTAAATATTGTGACATTTTCGACACGAACACACTTCCTCAGAAGAAAAATATATTTGTTTTAACTGCGTTTCTTATATTTGAGTTTTGCAGTTATGTTGTTGCACCTCTGAATATATATGTGATTTTTTTGTGTGATCTACTGGAATTGCATATTTAATGTTAATTATAATATCGTACTTTGATGAATAGGTTAATAAATTGATGTGCTGTTTTAAAGATATGACTACGATACGATCACACGTCATGTGATGAATATATTTCACCCAACAGCAGCTCATTCATTTCAAATGAAAATAAAAATATTACAGAGTAGCTCTGCTGCAGATGCATGGTGTTTTAGCTAGTTTTTTTTATATATTATACTTATGCTGTGTTTATATGTGAACTATAACTAATGGAAAAATATAGAGGAGTAAAAATGAGCTGCAGTAAAATGGTATCCACTATTCTGAAATATGAGACATTGAGTTTTGATGTATTTTCTAGCGCAACATAAATGTATTCCAGATTAGAAATGCAGCCTTAATGGTTCAGACGTGATTTATTTTCATTTTCAATGTTTTTTTTTTATTCCATGGCTCCAGATGGACAAGGTAGAGGAGGACCTGATCCGCTCCAAGTCCCTCAGAGAGAACCAGTCCAAAGAGTTCTCCCAACAACTCGATGCACTCAGACAGAAGTATGAGCAGCAGGTCTGTATGAGTCTGTCATCTGTCTGCAGTGTGTTTGTCTACATGTGTCTGCACGTGCGAGAAGTTTTCTAGCGTCTCTGCTCATGATGAAGCCAGGGGAAAGCATTCTTCTCTCGCTTCTTCTCGTCATCACATTGTTATTTTCTTTCTTTTATTGTTAACACTTGGGCATCTGGAGCCAACCGAGGGGACTGACATCCATTTAGAATACTCTTGTTATTCCTCCCCATCTGCTCCACCTGATTAATTTCTCATGATAGGAGACACGCTTTAGATTAAGACCGGATTGCGACTCAATAAATAACTTAAACGTTGCCAATTGAAAACGTATGCAATCTGCATAACAGACGCCGCTTCCCTTATCATCGCATCTCTGTCACTCTTCTTCGATTAGGAGAAAGAAACCCTTTTCACAACTCATTGCAATCCAGCTTACTGATAGGAGGACATCTCTTAGTGCATCAGATTCCATTAAACCATATTATCAAGGCATCCCGTCTTATTGTAGGCAGCAGAGAGCATGGTTTATATTTCTCCTACTTCCATTAAGCTCTCCGGCCTGATAGTGGGATTTTTATCTCTGGCTGTAGACTTTAAAAATCCAACTGAATATGTTTGCCATAAGATATTTGTACTTTATTTGTAGATATTTATACTAATACTCTTTTGTGTTTCTTTCTTTGTGTAACCTGTGTGCTACTATAGTTGAGTAATGCACAAATACATGTTTTTTACTCATTCAAATGACAATAGTATATACAGAATCTGTCTCAAAGTGGCTTCACAATCTGGGATTCTTCACACAATTATAACACCAGGCAAATAGTTGTATAGTTATTTCAAGCATACTAGGGCAACCCTGCATAGCAACTGATTGCACCATTTGATATATCCCAAGTTTGAGCATCAATAATAAATAATAATTTAAATGAAGAATGATGAAGAGGCTACGGCATTAATATGGTGTAGCATCTCTATTTCCAATCTGTATTCACATCATGATTGACTCCCAGCCACCAAACTAGCTCTCAACCTGTCTGATAATAAGCATGCTAACTCTCATTTCCAGGCCAGATGAAGTTTACACTGTGTCTAATGTGCTGGAGATAGTTTTAAGTGAAGGACAGAAGGTCAGTGTTGTTTCCAAGGGGGTGGAGAAACGGCTCCGTGACTGTTTGTAGTTATAATGACGTTTGTAGGGGGAAAGAATCTAACTTTCAAAAGATTTAAATGGGATTTATTATGTATCTAACAGAAAATGTGTTACTGGGAAAGAAGGAAATGCATCTTCCTAGTTCCTTCTGAAATTATAAACTGTCATAGAAATGGTTTTCATGACATGAATAATTTCATGCTTCTCCCTTTCAGCGCGGTGTGGACAAAAGTAACAAGAAACAGGTTTTATTGCGCCCAAAATGATTTATGATAATGATTTCATCGCCATATCTATAATAGTTATAATAATAATGATAATAATATGAATAAGAAGAAGAAAAGTGATGTAAGTCAAATCCCACCTCGACTTGACGTGTTATCTAATACGATATTATAGTATTTATATTAACACTTGAATATTTAATATTGCGGTATGTCCTGTCCCCCCTAATGCAGCTTAAACCATTAAACACATCATATGTATATCCAAAAGACATATTAAGCCGTTGTAATGGTCTCGTTACTGTACGATTTTCTTGGTGTTTTGTGTGCCAACTTCAGTGGAATCATGAATTCCATCTCATGTGAAAAACAGGTAAGTCATCAAAGCATTGCAGCAAATATATTGAAGTGGCGATTATCATCTGCCGCCACAGAGTGGGGGATGTTGACAGTTGAAGCCAGCTACACAGGGTGAGCAGCTCGTCAGGAAGCCTTTTGTCTTCAAGATAAAAACACATAAAGACAAAGGGCCTGCCTTTGTGATGACGTTGATGTGCGTGCTGGTGACATTAGCAACACAGTTAGAAGGGTAGGGAAAAAAAGAGAGAGAATGTATCTGTAGATTATTCATGTGAGCACAATCGTTTTTATGTTTTGCGTGCTGTGTTTATGCACACACACAAGCGTGACCACGAGTTCTTTGTGTGTACCCATTCACCCATGCCTTCATGCGTGTGTGTAAATGTGTGCTTCCACTCCAGAGAGATTGGTGTCACAAGATCGCAGGGGTCAAGTTTGTCCCTTCAGATACTCACAAAAGAACATTCCCTCAAGGCCAACTTCGATGAGCCGTTAAAAGGCGATCTATGTATGAAGGAGTTGTTTTCCAGCTGACCGTAATGGCAGTTGGACGTCATGGTGTCCAGAAGAGCACTGCCTCTTGACGTCGGAGTGATGCAGTGAGGTCAAATGGCTGATTTAGAGTTGTGACCTTGAGAGTTTAGGGAAAACTCAACAGCTTCATTCTTGATGTTGGATTGGAAAGTAAAGAATGAAAGAGACTAGTCTGTAGGCTTGCAAGTGTGTGGACGTACTGTACTCATGTAGGGTTAGGGTTAGCACCGCTCACTGATCTTTAGTTTAAACCCAGTGAGGAATAAGAGGTTTGTCTTTCTTCCATTTCTCCCTTCCTTCCCACACTTACTCCACACTCCCCTGCTGGGACCAGACAGGGCTTCTGTTCAAATCTCCTCCACACCCTCCTCTTCCCTCCTCCTTCCCAAACATTTCAGATTTCTCACTGCGGGGCTGAAAGAAGCCCATTACCTCACTGTCCTGTCTCAATGCGATCAATGCACACACACAACCATGTCGGGCCGGGCTGACAGGAGTCGTGCTGTGCAGTAACACCCTACTCACTCTGTATCTGTGGCACCAAGCTGTGCTATAACCGACTCAGTGTTCCCTTCATAAACTCCATGCCGGTCCCTTTAAGAACCGCAGCACCCAGCATCCTCCGCTGCACGCTGGCGCTACGTGATGTCACAACCAGACGCCTTGCTGGGTCTGCTTTCTGTCATCTCCTCTTCGTCTTTTTCTTTAGCTGATTTTCTCTCACAATGGATCTATCTTACCCATTTCTTCGTCCTTGCTTCACCTCTGATCCCCTCGTTCCTCCAAAATCCCAATGGCCCGAGACTCTAAACAGGAGCGTACAGGAAGCCACGATGTCCGCCCCTAATTTCTGTTGCAGCATGCCACGTTGTCCAGCTGGGGAGTTCTTGAAGCAATTGCCAGCTTATCAGTCTGTCAGCTGTAACTTGTGGTGCTGTAAGAGTCTGACTATCCCTTTGGGACAACATATTCTGGCTGTGGATCTCATTTGTATCTATCTATTATGGAAAATGAATGCAGTGGAATTCACCGTAGACAACATCAGCATCACCAATGATAGCATTGGAAGAAGTTGCCCACATTCTGCATACAGTTTGTCAAATGGAGCGTTGTGGTGTCCTATTGTAAACTGGAATAATGGATTGCGAGGGGTATCTTTAGAGTGTGTGTGTATATTTTGACCATGCCATTAACTGGGCCGCTGAGATAAAATACATTTTTATCCAGCTATAAGTCTTCTTATCGCCCTTTCAGAGAGCTTTTAGCAAAGCTCCCTCAAAATCTGAAGGGTAAATTCTTGGCTGCTAAAATGAAGTGTCTATTGTGGCCTTCCTCTCAGTGCTGGGGACGGAATCCGGCTTCCTGTAGATAGCCCCTCATTCATCACCTGCTCTGAATAGCATGCAATGTCCAAAGATAGGCCCGTGGATAGAACAGGCACCGGGCATAGAGGCTGTGGATCTCCGCTTCTCTGGCAGGCCAGGTAGGGTGCCGTCAAGCACAATGTGCAGGGGATTAGCTTCAAAGCAGGGAAGCAAATGGGCCCCAGGCCCCTGCTGTCCTTTCAGGGCTCTGGCTGGGACTGCACGGCGGGATGGTGTGGGGGTCACAGGTTCCCCCGCCATGGGGGAGTGGGAAGGGAACAGAGCCTGGGAAAGGCTTGGGGCTGGGAGCTCTGCTGCCAAGGCTCACCTCTCAGCAGGTGACTCCGCTCACAGTGAGGCTGGGATACAGACTTACTTCAGCTGCCAGGATGATTAAACTCTGAAAAATTGGGCTTTGTGTCCCATTAGAAGTGTTTTATTTACCTCTACTGTATTGTGTACAGCTGTTTGTAACTCAAAAACTAGCGAAGTTGGCTTCCCGTTGATTGGTGCATGTGGCTCCTTGCTATTCTAGAAGCCTAAATCCATGAAAAAATGGTCTGGTAAATACTTTTTGTATCAGAATCGTATCAATTTTGAAAACATAAACTGATATTAATCAATTAATGGAATGAATGAATAAGAACTTAGTTCATCACACGTAAAGGCGCCATCAAAGATTAGTAACATCTTCCCGTTTCTCTTCAAAGTTTCTGCTGTTTTCACCAACCTCCAGTTCTTTTTTTTTATTATCTGGGTTTATTTGTTCATCATAGTCATCGGCTAAGCCGATTTTCACATGCTGTCAGACGCATAGCATGGGGCATCGGGTAGTTACTGCAGCAGATGGCTAACCCCTACCGGCTTGCATGCATAGCCCCAACTAGCTGCTCTCTTATATGTCCGATGGCAGAATAGGGCATGGGGGGCAGATTTGTAGAGAAAGAAAGGAGTGGGGCATTGAGGGCCGGTCTGTACAATTGGCAGTAGAGGTGGGAGGGCGGGGGAGCAAGCCAGATGTAAACACATCACATCACGCCTTCCTCTGACAATGGGAGGAAGCGGAGAAACTTTCCTTGCTTTTTTACCACCTTCCCAACAATTTGGCCGAATTGGTAGGGCACGTAGGTGTTATGGGTCCAGTTATAGGTATAGGAGGAAGAAAGGATGAATGGATCGGTAGATGGACAAGTTGTCATGACGACAGGATTGCTTCTGAGTGTGTGTTGGCTGATGAAGTCTTTCTTTGCCTGCTTGTCCAATCAGATGGCTGAGCAGCGCATGCAGCACGAGCAGGAGAGGACGCGGCTACAGCAACAGCACAGCACGGAAAAGGACAGCCTGGTCCAGGAGCGCCAGTGGGAGGTGAGCAGCCTGGAGAGGCAGGCCAGGGCAGCCCTGCAACAGCACCAACAGAACACCCAGGAGTGGAGGAAACTCGACGCCCAGGTAGGGGGTCTCCACTGATCCACGTTTGCACACACACACGCACATGCTGACCCATCGCTCTCCCGTGGACAACCATTTTGTATTTCGCACATTGACGGTTTCCTGGGGTTTCAAAAGCACAGCGGGTTAAGACACTTTTTTTACTTGGAGCAGGACAGATATTGATATTGGGCGTGACTCATTTTATGGATAGCTGTGTATCGGTTGGTAGTTTACAAAATAATTTAGATATTGCTATCTGAATGTTTTTTCTTATAGTTTCGGCAAAAACAACGTCGCGCGGAAGGAAAGTCTTTGGGGAAAAATTGAATAAACTAAACAAAAAAGTCACACAGTGCCGACTTCTAACGTTGTTCTAAAACATTTTTAAGATTTTCTTCTTATCGCAGCAGGGTTTTGTGATAGAAGTGCAAATATTTGACACCACAGGTAGCCAGATGAAGGAGAAGAAATCTGTTCCATTGGGCGCAAAGGTTTAATTCCGAAACCCTGGGTCCAATTTCTCTTTTATTTTCCGCTGTACGGTTATAGACCAGCGTTAAGCGCCCTCTACTCACTCCGAAGTGTATCTCTGCATGACATTCTCCTCTCACCGCAGGTAGTCATCTCCCTCCGGAAAACGCTGGTTATTCTCTTATTTCAGTATTGACGGCCCCAATGAATGTATGACATTTGGAGCTATATTAACGGGCATGCCTATTCTGTCACCGTTTAGCCAAACCAGCAGCAGGTCTTCATCTCGTCCCCTCGTCTTCGCCTCTCTCCAGCCTGGGCTAGCTTGAAGCTCTGTGGGACGCCATTTGACAAACCGGCCCCCAACTGGGGATGTGTTTGACTCTTCAGGCTTCCTGATCAAATGGACATTGTCAGCATGGAGAGAATTTTTGTTTATTGGCCATTAGCTGGATATGGGGATCCAGTTACAGTCGCACCAAATGGAGGGCGAAGAAGCCGGACTTCACGTAAACATTTTTAAAGTTGTATTCGTCATAACTTAGTACAACTATTTACGACAAAGGGGCATTCAAGAGATTAACACATACCACAAAAAAAAAAAAAATGAAGTTAACCGTCCTATTTGATGTTGAAAGCCTATTTTTCTAGTCAAATGCAACCATTTCTAACAACTAAAGAGACTCCTTAGGATATCAAAATATAATCTTTGTGACTCTGACATTTTTTTTTTTATGTTTACATTTAAGGTTGTAATATTGAAACTAGAAGTGATGCTCCGTCTGATGTTCAAAACGGCCCCCTGTCGGTAGCTCAAATATCAAAAATATTCTTTCATACTAGGCTCTGTTTCACATTGAGGCAATTATTTTAAACACCGCGAGAAGCCATCTCAATCGCCATGCCAGTTATTATTATAATACTGGTTTGCTTGCGCCACAGCTTTCTGAAAATGTACTTAAAAAAGCAACAGGGAGAGGCCCTCTCTAATGTGCCCCCGTCCAATGTTTTGGGGTGAAATGTTTTTCACAGCACCAATGCCACCAGCTAGTGTGTTATCTTTGCTTTTTGGAGATGCCGTCACAACAGGACATTTCTGCTGATAACATGCTGTCCTACTCGTGTCAAAATGACGTGTTGTTTCACGAATCCTTGGATCTCAGAAAGTGACAGAAAACAAACTTCTCCAGTACTCATCTCATATTCTCAGTTCCCGTTTGCTTGAGCAGCATTTTGAGTAGAGATGCGTTAACGTCAGACGCAGCAGAAATCAAGATGTTCACTCGGGCCTTGGAAAGATGAAGGATGGGATTGTGAGGTCTCTGAAAGTGTGGTGTGGATGTGAGCTGGTTTGACTTCCTGTTTGAGCACATGGATGTGCGGTTTAAATGACAACAAGCTGACATAAGTAGCAGATAATATGTATTAAAGATGTGCTTTTCTACACTGGAAAAAGCCACTTACTCCTAAACACTTGTGGGTTTACCAAAGTTGTTTACCACCAAGGATATCTGTGCTGTCATACTGCTAGCAATGTGGCCTTCACTGGCAGTCTTTTAAATGAATAACACAGGGCGGAGAAAGTGTGGAAATATTAATTGAATCTTCAAAAAAGAGCACTTTGTTCATGCACACAGAAAACATTGAGCACTTCCTGTAAAGCAAATTCTCTGGCTTCTTTTCTCCTTTGCTTCTGGGAAGCTCAGGACTTTTCAAAACAACACACTCCCACCACATGGGTCGGATGGGCAGTATATTATCTCCAAGTGACATGTCAGTAACCGTCATGCCTGCTGTGGCATGGCCTCATTATTTCTGTCTCCCTTCTTCTCACACTTTCTCTCAGTCTTCCTGGAATCAAGGCAACGATAGTTGCAGCTCGGAAGTTGGGAAGTGAACAGCAAATGTCAGTCACACACTCATAGGATGAGTAATACCCACTCATCCCCTTGATGTGGTGGGACACTAATAAATAGCATTCCTGACTTGCCAATGAGTCGTAGCATCGATTTAATAAAAACTGGGACACGTTGTTCTCCTCCCACCAGAGCACCTTATCCAAAATATTGAGCCCACCGTGAAGCAGCTGCACATTATAAAGGCTAGTAAACACCGATGTTGTGTACAAGGAGCTTCTATTTGTCCCATGTCCACACTTTAGGTTATATTTAATTGTTCTGTTTGTGCCTTAAATGTTATAATATCCTTAATGGAAGAATCTGAATTATGCTGCTGGATTCTAGGCCTGGTGTGGGGCTGGCATCCCACCGACTCTGGGGATTAACTCACACATTCTCAGCCTCTTGGAACTCAATGTTCTCTTGAAGGAGAAAAAATGTTTGAAGCTGAAAAAATAGAAGTATGAAAAGAAGCTCCCAGACAGTTCTGCATTGTCCCGTCAGCTGATCAATGTCTCTTGAAAGATGAAGAAGCTTTGTTTTTGGGATCCATCCTCTAAAAGGCTCCACTTCCTGATGTAATGGCCTTTTTTTTCCTCCTTCTACAGACATTGTGATGAAATCATCCACCCATGTTAAACAAATCAATGTTAAAGTAACAGAATGAGGAACACTATATATTTTGTGTAATCACACTGGATATGAAATGATGACTCATACTTCTACAATTACGAAGTTTACCTTGAAACTTTTGTATTATATATTCCCTACAAAATGATGAATTTTTCGAGAATGTACAGATGAATTCTATTGAATGTAAAACAATTTTAGTTTTTCACTCTTGCTGTTCTTAATATATACTCCATTTTGTGTATTTTCAGTTTTTAAACATTAGTAAGAGTCGGACTTCAAAAACTAGGACAAGCATTATAAATACATTTTAAAGCCTTGCGAACAACACAATTGTTTGTTCTATGAAAAACGTATCATTCATATTCTTCCCACCAGCTCCTCCTCCAAACTCATTTTATAGGTATTATTTTCCCAATTAATTAATGTATTTTCTAAAGGAAAACGTACACGCCATCTGGACTTCAAACAGCATGGGAGAGTCTGGTGAGGTCTTTCTTCTGGGCCGCGATGGACTAAATAATGATGCTGTCAATTTTTCAAAGCATTTAAATCCCAACTACGTGATTAAGATGAGTCAAATGAAGAGGGTGATGACAAGCTGAGTCAAATAAGAGGATGTCAGAGGAAGGGAGCAAGGCAGACAGCTAGACCAGTGTGCACGTTGATTGTCTCTGCGCTTGTGTACTGTCACTAACCAAATGATTGGTCCCTGAGATCTGGTGTCTTCAAGCAGATATTGTCTTGTTACTCAATGACTTCCTGTAGCAGATCCTACTATGACTGGCATTGTGGTTTAAGAAAGATTTCATCACGTCTTACTCTTCCCATGTCCTGTTCATCTGAGTTTTTATGTTTGTCTCCTTCATTCTGAACAATCATGGGAAAGTCATCAGTGACTGCTGATGTTCTGTGATGTGTCGAGAGTTACAGCATGCTCTCTTTTCAAAACATGAAGCCATTTTAGTATGTGCATACGTCACATATTGTTGATTTCAGGCAGATTCAGACATTTTTAAATGACAGGCTAAAAAAACACATTTATTACAACATCTTACCTACATTTTGTTTTTCTTAATTCAGTCAACTATAACACATGAGTGCAAATGTATTGTATGTATCTAAGTCTAAACATGAATATATTATTTGTCTGTCGAGGAGTAAACGGACTGGTGATTTTATCGGTTATAACTTTTGCGTTTTACTCTGTTATATTGCTAACACGAAGCCAGTGCATTGTTTACATTTAAGTATATTATGTCCCTTTCAGCACTTTGGGATTACTTTCATCAATGAAAGGTGCTTTACAAATAAAATGTATTATTATTATTTAAACAAATGTGCTTTAATAGTTAATTATTTAACTATTTGTCAGAGCAATGCTGCGAATCACTTGTTCCAGCACACAAAGCATTAGCTTTCACGATAACATAAAGAATAGAAGCAGGTAAACAGCTAAGCTATCCTAATAAGCCTCAATTTGGAGTTCAAGCTAAAAGTTGTGTCACCTGTCATGCTAATGCACAATATCATTTCTCACAGCAGTCCTTTGTGATGTGTAAGCAGGAACAGAACAGATGCAACCACAGTAATAAGATTAATTATGGGTCTACAGCATTCAGGTGTGCCTGTGAGCCAACGTGCACAATGCCAGGGCCTGGCGCTGACATGCACAGATGGAATTATACATTTTATTAGCTGTGCCTCGGGTTTTTTCTGTTTATAGTTATGTCACTTTTATGTAATCCTTTTTTTAAATGAATGTTAACATATCACTTTATTTTATAACATCAACAAATACATTCCCACATTAGCATAACAATAGCATAATTAATCTATTCAAATTCATTTTAATGATGTACCGGTGTTTTCCTCTTTTTTTGTTTTTCTAAGTCGAGGCCATTCTCTTTAAAATATGTGGACACCCTGCATTATTATTATTATTATTATTTATTACCAGCACATCCTGGCTGTTCACTCTATAAAGGATTCTGCTTAAACAAATGTCACATTAAAGTTTGCAAAGAGAGTAGCACATGGGTAATAAAGACAAATCCCTTTAAAAACCAACTTTGTAGTTATTGTGGCAGAGTAGCTGGTGTTTCTTTTTCTGTCTCTTTTTATATACATTTTATACATAAAGACCTACAGTCACTAATGGAGTCTTATAGCTTCTCTTCAAAATGTTCTTGTCTCGATGGAAACGTATTATGTCTGATAACCAGCCTTCTGATGGTTCCCCAGTCTTTAGACTTTTTAGCTGACACGATTTGACCCAGTATATTTCATTTGACACTCTCCTATTGTTACCAAGAGCTGCTTAATCTCAAAGCTCCACATCTGCATGCTAACATGTGCCCTGTTGGAAGTGGCCACGCTCACATACTTCCAAAGGAGACATGCTCTTTTGGCCTCTTAAGTTTCCGAAGTGTCATTGCCTCTGTTCTGGGAGATTATACTCTTTCTTATTCAAGGATTTTTTTTTTTGGAAGGCAGATCATCCACATTTGTTAAAGAGAGAATTATACATTAAAGATCCTCGAGAGTTCAGTTCTAATAGCTGCTTGCCCTTGAAGGCGCAAGTGAAGCAGTGAGACGGGTAATGTTGAGGAACAGCACTGGGACACAGAGATAGAAAGGATTGCTTGTGTTTGTTTTTTACCTCATATTCTCTCTGACTGTGCTGCATGCGATTGTATGTGTGCGGCAGCCTGACCATGTGTGGCTGTTTGTCTGTTTATGTCTGTGTGTGCGCATGTGAGTCTGTCTGTGTGTGCCAGTGTTGGAGGGAGCACAACACGGAGCCACAGCATCTGCCTGTTTTTTTGACACTCCTTTGAAGTCTCTTTGATTCTCCCCAGTGCCCGCTAAAAAAGACTTCAGACACTTTCTGTCTGATTGCCTTAGCATGGCGTTGTCCTTGGATGCCCAGGCAGAGCACATAGTTTGAACCAAAGTAAGAAATAAATCAAGTAAACCAAGGAGAGTAATGAGGATGTGCAATAGCTGTGCAATAGGTAGGGAAGTGTGAAACACCAAAACTGCAGTGCTTCTTAGAACCACACTTCACTAAATTCATATTTGCTCATTGCTTGTTATAAATTGTAGGGAATGATCATATTATACTGACAGAAGCAATATATGTGATTATGTTCAACACATTTGTGAAAGCTTTAAGTGTGAAACAATGTAAAGTGTACATTAAAGGGGACAATTATGCTAATGTTTAAGCTAAAACTTTGGCTTTTCTGCCTGAACGTTTTAACATGCTTCAATATTCAAGAACCACATAATTATCCTCATACTCTCTTTCTGATTATACATGTAATAGTTATACATTAAAAACACTCTAGTATAGCGTTTGTCTCTTAAGACACACTCCAAAAAAGACTACTCTGCTCTGATTGGTCGGTTTTTCCAGGTCTTCTGTATCTGTTGCTCTCTGTGTCATTTCAGCCGGGGAATGACTGTAACGAACTGAGGCGCCACGTTCTACCTAAATGTAGTATAATTGTGACATCACAACGTTACACATTTTCTGGCTGCTACTTTAAAGGCACAGTTTTTGTGCAAATCTACTTGAATAGAAGTTATGATAGTTTCACAGTGTTTTTCTAATAGCACTCAAACCTACTTTATAATACAAAAATATGCATGGTTATCTCACTTTTCAAAATACAATACATTTAAAAAAGGAATTATTTTAGTTTTTAGGCAAAAAACCTTCATCAAACAAACTGTGATGCACTTTTGTGAAAACAGTAGTTTTTGCATATCCTAAACTCTTCAATCTATCTGAGATTGAGTGTCATTGCTTGTGTCAGACTAGTCTTATTTCTGGTGTTTCAGAGGCTGTGGGGTTTGGCTTATTAGCATTCCTGCTATATAATGTTGATGCTCACTGGCAGCACTATTAAAGAGCTCTTCTGGTTGAAGTCAAGGCTGAGCAGTTCAAAAAGAGAGAGGTTACACCATCACAGCAGCCCCTGCTAGAGTAGTCAAAAAGAGAAACATTGCAGCATGTTTGTGAAACTTGGTTAAACTGTACAGGCTCTCCCTCAGATACTGTGTCTCAAACTCTCTGCAGCATCCTTTTAATCATTCCTATCAATACAGAGCATTTCTTAACATCTCCCTGCTGTAGCATCTCTCATTGTGGTATCTGTGTTTATTTGTTTTTATATTATCACCCTACACGACACATCATTTCTCCTTGTTTCTCCCATATTCATGAGGGAAATGGAGAACCTCATGTGTCAGTGACAGAAATAAATACCATGTCATTATGAATGGTTACCATCACTTATCTTAGTCGACTGTACATTTATTTTCTTTTTTGTGACCAACTATTTATTGTTTTCTTGTTGCCCTCACAGAGGGACTTGTATACACAGATACAAATTATATAGACAATAAAACAAAAAGAAAAAACAAAGTTAAAATAAAGGGAATCCCTTTCCCACGCCACCCTGTCCCTCCCCCTTCCCACCCATCTTGCCATTTCACAGAAATCATACTGATGTTTGTTAGAAATCGTCTGAGTTCATCTATCTATTATATTATTATATTATTTATATTATAGCCTAACCATTTATACACATCACACACATTCATACATTTTTTTCAGAACATTTGATCTGTTTAAACTGAGTTCAAATCGACTCCTAATCATCTACAAATGCACCAAGGTGTGCATATATGTACAATCTTAATTGACATGACTTTACATTTCTGTTTCCAATTCCTTGCAGACAATTTCAGATTTGGAATCTCAGTTGTCGAGTCTAAGTGAGGATCTCCATGGAGCCAATGAGAAGCACAAGCAACAGTTGGCTGAGATGGCGTTACTCCGGGAGGAAGAAAAACAAAGCGAATTCCTGGACAGAGAGGCATCGTTGGACCGGCTCCGCTCGGACATGGAGCGCATCCGCGGCGACCTTGAGGAAAGCCACCAGCAGGAGAAGGACGCGGCTCAAGAGAAGGTGGGTGAAGGGTTCATGAAACACATCGCATCCCTTTCCTCTGTGGATAAATGCATTTCAAACAAAGGTTTCATAAAATGTGAAACGTTCTTCCGTTCACAAGCAGTTTCTCACAAAACTGAGTGGATGGCGCTCGTGTTTGAAATAGCCTCGAACCAGTAATTAGGTAGAAAACACTGGGCAGAAGAAGAAAAGCTGTGTTTATTCCTGCATACAGCTGTGGTTGCCTTTCAGCCTGTGGGAATCGTCAGCTGCTATTACCACTAGAAGTGTTGTTGTATGTTTTAGCAATGTCCTTGTGCAGGCAATCAATCATTTGTATTTTTCTATGTATCTCAAACTGTTTCTCTGTATGTCTGCCTCTTTGTATATCTCTTTCTCCAATAGATGTTTGTCAGAGGATATTGGAAAAATGTTGTCTTTATCAAGCTATTATTTAAAATCAGTGCAGACAGTGAGAACAGATTGTGTGTGAGTGTATGCTTGACGTGGACTTGTTGTATAGTGCTTTTATTCAAAGCCTTTTATAACTCTTAATCACCCATTCTCCCACACAACGTTATCAGCAAGCTACCAAACAAGGCACGTTCAGTGTTTCGCCAGACATGTGTACAGTAGGAACGGGGGATCAAACCGCTACAACCCACTCTACCTGCTTAGCTTCGACCGCCCCTAGAGAAGGAAGGCTTGCTCGGGGTCGCAACAGCCGCCGGTTCAGTTTTACAGATCAGCACATCTTAATGTTTGCACATCCAAGATGGGGTTAAACTTTTGTACATGTGACCTCTAAGATTTACCCACAGACTCAAAGAGCCTTACGCAGCGTCCACACGGCGGCGTGTGTTGAAGCTTGCCGGTGAGCTTGTCTGAAACTCGACCAACAACCAATCACATGAATCTCCCCGCCCCAAAGTGAAGCAACGCTCCCACAATGCAGTTCGGCAAAGTGTGACGTCACCCCATTCAAAGTGAATGGGCAGAAGCGTTGAAGCTTCAACGCCGTGTGGACGAGCCGTTAGTGTTATTGAGAAATGTCCTCGTAAACACCAGAAAAAAACATGTCAAATTACTATTAAAGGTTTTTACTACGTCATAGATAGAGTCTAAACAGAGTGTTGAGTCAGATAGTTATGCATCCCTAATGTTGTTATGGAACTTTGCCTTACCCTCTTACCATCATGGGATATACACTTTTTCATCGTTCGGGGATTGGATTTAAGGGACAGTCACAAAGTGGAAACCACAGACATTGCCCAGCTTTGCTTTTTGCTATCTTTGTGAATCAGGAAGTGCTTCAATTAGAACTTCTGAGGTTTCCTGTCCCTTTCTTTCTCTCTTTCTGTCTTTGATTGCTTCCCTGGCCACTACAGAAACTGGACCCCCGACTTTGAAATCACCCATAATCTTGTGCTGGTCTAGCAGGAAGCTGACCTAAGGTGGTGTTGATCAGAACCTAATCCCTCTGCAGGTCCCATCAAAGAGAGCATTTTTCATTAGACACCATCCCGCCCCAGCTGCGCAGCATTAGCCCCGGAATGCAGGGACCTCCAAAGCACCCAGCCGGCCATTTTGGCTCCATATGGCACACAGAACCTGGGGTACTGAAGGGAGAGGGATCCGAGGAGAAGAGTTTGCTTATTACAGGGTAATCCTCGTTTGAAGAAATGCCGCTATTTCCTATCAGTCCCTTTAATTCATTTTGGGATACGAGAAGGCTGCTTTGCAACTGAAAGATGATTTGTCTTTTTTGGCTCACTTTAATTCCTCTTCCATGGGAAAAATGACCCACAGTTGTCGGGGAATCTGGAGTGGATTCAAAGCAGTGATGCTGTATGTTGAACTGAGACTGATAACACTAAGAAATGTGCTAGTTTCACTTTTTATGAAAGAGATTAATGATTTCTCTCAGTCCCTTTTTGTCAGCTCAAAGTACATGCTTCTAACAAAAAAATCACAAAAAGGTCGAAACGGCTTTGCTTTTTCTTATCTGTGTCCAAGTTAGACTTGGGATTGTGGAAAAGTTTAACTTCTTCTTTGCGCCCTGTTTTTTTTCACGTGGGATTGAAGTCAGCCAGCTTTCAGATCCATATTGACTCGTTCGCCCTGTTTTGTAAGCTGAAATGTCTCGTTCTTTTGATGCAGACAGAAATGCTGTCCTCTGCAGTCCAACATACTCTTGGAAGCAGAGGCCAGCTTTTTTTTTTTACACATCTCCCAGATCCTGGAAAAAAGGCCAGAGAAATCCATTAAATCCATGAATGGATTCCCATCAAAGACGCATGCGTTTATGGGAGAGACAGAGAGACAGAGAGGGATACAGGGGGATGTTTTGGGAGTAGACTGTCGAAGCTGTTGGAATGAAATAATGAGAAACAGAAAATCAGAGGAGATCAGACGTTAAGATTTGAGCTGCACCAAAAAAGAAAAGAGCTGAGAAGGAAAAGTGATGGAGGTGGGCTGAGTAGAAGGTGTGGGGGGGTTTAGTCTGCTTGCTATTGAA